AGATTAATATATTTCTTGTTAAATATTACTTAATTTATAACTGTTAATATTGTAAAAAATAAATATAATATTAGAAGTTTATAATAAAAACAAAAAGTTATTGAATTTATTTGCTAAAACTAATAATTAAGACATAGTTAAAAATAAGAATAATAAGACAAATTTAAAATATAATTGAATAGTGTAATAAAAAAAAATTAAAGATTACCTCAATTATAGAATTCATATTTATAGAGCACCATTTTCTAAAAAAAGATAAAATATAAATTAATTTAATATTTATATATAATTTCAACCAAAAATTAATAATCAAAATATAATTGAAATTAAATTATAGTTTGTTGTACCTATGATTTTGATGATTGCAAAATACATTTGAGTGACTAATTGGTTTATTTAAGTGTGTAGTTAAGTTGTTAAAAGATTGCAAGTAAACTTGGATTGCACTAAAAATAGACCAAAAGGATTCAAAATGTGCAGAGAACCGGCTCTTAAAAGCTGCAGCCGGCTCTGGTGAAATGGAAGTGCAGAGAGCCGACTCTAGAAGCTGCAGCCGACTCTACGGGCAAAAATTTGAAGACCGTTGTTTGGTGCGCGTGGAGAAAAGACGCAAAGCTGGCTCCAGCTTTGCAACCGGCTGTGAGGGTGCATTTAATGCACAACAGTCGACTCTTTTGAAGAGTATTTAATGTATTTAAAGTCGGAGTTCCAAAGCCGGCTCTTGAGAAAAATAGAATGTGCAGGAATCATGTAAAGCCGCCCGTAGAAATGGTGAGCCGGCTATACAAAGTCGGCTCCAAGAAGTTAACTCGGTTCTCCTGACAATCCTGCAACTTGAGCTTTGCGTCCTGCAAGGCATTTAATGACCCCCAACGGCTAGAAATGGCTATTTTCCAGCAAGGGGCTATAAATATGGTTGGTAACAGATTTGAAGAAGTTTGGAGAACATTGCATTGAATATCTTTACCTCCCATCTTGTGCTTTAACTAGAGATTTTGATCTTTGAGAGATCTTTGTTTATAATCCTCTTCTTATGCTATTAGTGAGTGATCTTGGGGGTGTGTTGATTCCTTCAAGAGTGATTTATTGAGAGGATTTGTGGGATTTACATTGTAAAGGGGTGAGGTTTGAGAGAAATACTCATCTTCTTGTAAAAGTATTGAGTGGCTCCTTTAAGCCACCATTGTTGTTGTTAGTGGAGAGTGTGGAGGAAATCCTTGGTGAGTGAAGCCAAGGTAGAGGACTAGGCTCCAAGTGGTTGGACCGAACCTCTATAAATCATTGAGCAAGCTCTTCTTCTCTACTCTTTTTAATTTTTGTTTGGTAGTTGCAAAGAGGTGAAAATTCTCCAACTCCAATTCATCCCCCTCTTGGAGTACATTGAGTCAACAATTGGTATCAGAGCAAGGGCTCCAATTTGAAGGTTTAACCACCTAGGAGTTGATCGGGGATGGCTCAATTTCAATCTTCTCAACCACTTGAAGGTTTGTCTACCACTAAGCCTCCTTTCTTTGATGGTACTAATTATAATTATTGAAAGAATAGGATGAAGGTCTTCATGCTTGCAAATGTGCCCAAGGCATGAGTTGTGACTATGAAAGGTCCATATGTACCTATGAAAATTGTTGGAGAAAGAGAGGTGCCAAAGGAAGAGATTGATTGGAATGATGAAGACTTGGTGAAGATCATGATCAACAACAAAGCAATCAATATGCTTCAATGTGCTCTCAATCCAACGGAATTCCATAGAGTATCCGAATGTGATATGACTAAGGAGATATGGGACATGTTGGAGGTAACACATGAAGGAACAAGCCAAGTGAAGGAGTCAAAAATCAATAGACTCATTTACATGTATGAGCTTTTCAAGATGAAACCAGAGGAGAGCATTCAAGATATGTATACAAGATTGAATGATATAGTCACCAATCTCAAGGTTCTTGATAAAATCTATCCTTCTCAAGAAGTAGTGAGGAAGATTCTTAGAAGCTTGCCCAAGAATTGGGAAGCCAAGAAGACCGCAATTGAAGAGTCTAAGGATCTCAACACCCTCAAGCTTGAAGATCTCATTGGAAAATTGATGACATATGAGATAGAAGTTCAAGTTGATGGTGGAGTTGAAGTAGTTGAGAAGAAGAAGAAGAAGAAGAATGCTGCTTTCAAGGCTAGCAACCAAAAGGAAGAGAGTGAAGATGATGCTAGTAATGATGAGTCTAGCAATGAGGAGGACATCACCAAATTGATTTCAAAGGAAGTGAAGAGATTCATGAAGAAGAACATCAAGAGCAAGCTTGCAAAAAGAGATGAAGGAGAGTCTACCAAAAGGAGTGTGAAATGCTATGAGTGCAACAAGATGGGGCACTATAAAAATGAATGTCCCAAATTGAAGAAGGGTGAAAGGAAAAACAAGAAAAGCATGAAGAAGAAAGCTTTTACCACCACTTGGAGCAATGATGAGATTAGCTCAACGGAAAGTGAAAGCTCCTTAGAAAATGGTGTTGCAAATCTTTGCTTCATGGCTCAAGAGGATAGCTACAATGACGAGGAGGTAAACTCTAACTTCTCTAGTTCAATTAATGAAAGTTCATTTGAGTATTTTTATGATGATTTATGCAAAGTTCTTGATTGCTCTATGAATGACATTAAGAAACTAGGAAATGATAATGTTGCTCTTACTAAAACCATTTCATTGCTTAGGAATGAGATTGAATCTCTCTCAAAACAAAATGAGGTTTTAGTTAAAGAGAATGCCTCTTTAAATGGTGAGATTGCTTCTTTAAAGAATGAGGAGTCTAATAATGCTTTGAAAAAGGAAAATGAGGATTTAAAGAAAGCAAATGAAGATTTAAAGAAGGAAAATGAGGTTTTAAAGAGAAACGCTTGTGATCTTGAGAATGTAATTTTCAAATTTACCTTAAGTAAAGAAAAATTTGATTCTATTTTAAAATCTGAAAAAAGTATTTATGAAAAAGGGGGCATTGGATTTGATTATTCTAAAAAGAAAAAGACTTTCAAGAATTTTTTTGTAAGAGCAAGTCAATCCTATCACCTAATGTTACTTGCTATTATTGTGGTGCAAATGGACACTTTGCTTACGTATGTCCTTTGAAGAGATTGATAGCTCAAGGTAAAGTGAAGCAAATTTGGGTTCCAAAAGGAACTTTAAGCACTAACCCCCATGGACCCAAGCAAATTTGGGTACCAAAAATCAAAACTTGATTTTGTTTTGTAGGAAAAGTTGATGGCAAAGTCATAAGGAAAGCAAAGTAGATCTTAAAAAGACTTATGTCTCAATAAGAGTGTTGGAGTGGAAGTGCAAAGGAAATTTGTTTTTGAATGCTCCACTCATTTGCAAAAATTGGTATTATTTATTTTATTGTATTTATTCATTAAGTATAATCACATTAGCATGACTATTAATTATTGGTTTATGTGTGCTCACTCTTTGATTCATATGCTTGTTGAGTATGATTCCATTTGATGTGTCTTTCCTAGTGTTTAATATGATTCTTGAAATTAATGAATTTGATTATTAGAATTTGTGTATATTGATGCTTTGATTTGTGTACCTTGATTATATTCATGCTATTTGATGATGCATACATTGATATATGATTAAAGCTGCATAATTTAGTAGTTGATGTCCAATTTAAACTTAGTTAAATGAAGAAATATCAAATTAAGATGCATTGACTTCCAAACAGCCCCAAACCTTTTACTTGTTCTAATCAAGGCCAGTAGAGCCGGCTCAACCTTTCTCACAGCCGGCTCCACAAAAAAAATTGAGAGTCTTTTCTCTCTAAAGTTAAGCCGGCTCCATGACTAGAGCCAAGTCTCTTGCAGCTTTTTAAATATTCGGGCTTCTCTCTCTTCGAACCAGATCTGTCATTTTCCTCTCCCAAAACTCGCCATTCACTCTCCCAAATACCAAAATCTCTCAAAATCTACCAAATCCCATTCCTCAAATACTCAAATATCTTCAAATCCTTACCTACCCAACACCAAACCTTAAGCTTTTCACTCCAATTTGTGTGGGATTTGCTGAGTTCTCTCTCTCATGGCTTCAAGAAGGGGCGGAAGCAAGAGGAAAAAGATTGGGAGTTCTAGTGCCAGTGGCCAAGCCCAGGAAGAAGGTAACCTCGTTGATAATGCTCTGTTTATGGCTGATGATGCCATTAATCGCTATAATTTTGTCAAAAACTTGGCTGTGCTACCATGCAATTGTGTGAAGTTTAGTCAATTTCCTCAAGGAGATATGCTTGTTGAACATATATTTAGAGATATTGAGTGGATAAATTATTTAGAAATTAAGGGGTCTATGTGATGAGCATGAAAATGTATATCTAAAGTGTGCTTAACCATGGACATTTGTGGAATTATGGGTTTAAGAGTTATATTTTTTTTACAAATAATTTCATAATTGTTCACTCTATTCATGTTGTGCAAAATTTTGGT